TTAGGGTTTAGTTTAGGGTTTTGGGTGCACGGCATTATTGCAAATATTGCACATAGCCTCATCTGTTGCATTACCAAAAACGGTGAAACTTGCATAATAGCACTCATGCCAATTCCAAGAGTGTTGTCGTATTTAGTACTGATTCGTACTGTCACTATGCCCTAAACCCAAGCACAAAACCCTAAACCCTGCTGTTGATGATATACATCCTGCATTGCCTTAAGGACCCTAGACTGTGGGAATTGTGGTATATTCCTTATGTTGGGTATTGCAGGATGTATATCATCAACCCTATGATGTAGAGCTCTTCTAGGACAGGGGATCCTAGCCCTGGCTCAGCTAAGCAGCAATAGGCCTCTAATCCTCGTCTTGGCCCGAAGTCTACATAGTGTATATTGTGTTTCATATGTTATAGATTATCTAAGTATATATATATATACATACATATATATATATGTATATATGTGCGAGTGTATACATATATATATATACACATGTTTATAGATCAGGTTGTAGCTTCCATTATCTTTGTCATCGGAAGGCCGCAAGATATTGGCTGCACCAGTGGCATTCGGCGGCCCCTCGGCGGAAAATCTCGGATTCTGGACTCGATTTCGGGCTTGTCTTCCCATCAATAGCAGCAACTGACGCGGACAATAACAATGACGACAACAGCAGCTACTGCTACACCTACAGCCAAAGGCAACAGCAACACTCCCACTGCCGCCTCCACCATCAAGCCATAAACAAAACCAGCAGCAGTGACGACGACAAGGACGCGAAGACGGTTCCCAAACTAACAACGGCAAATGCAGCTGCAGCAGTACTGCAACAAAAGCACCAGCAACCGCTAACAAGCGTCTTCAACCGAAATATTGTCAGTAGCGGCACCAGAACTGACCAGCAACAACAACAACAAGAACAGCAAGAAAGCGACGACGACGATGACGACAGCAACAACAACATCCACTCCAGCAGCAGCCGCAGCAGCTGCAGCAGCAGCTGCTGCACCAGCAGCAGCGGCAGAAGCGGCAGTTGCAGCAGCAGCAGCAGCAGCAGCAACCGTCGCTGCAAAGACGATGCCTCTCCAAAGCATCGGCGCAAACAGCACCCTGTGATGTTGATGTTGGCCATGATGACGCTGATGGAATGATGCTGATGGTGTTGATGCTGATGCCGAAAGCAGTAGCAGTCAGTAGCAGTATCAGTTGCAGTAGCATCAACAGCGCGACGACTTCAAGCAGAGGTAGAAGTAGTAAGTAGAAACCGTAGCAGCAGCAGTAGCAGGCGGTGGTGGTAGTAGTAGTAGTAGTAGTAGCAGTAGCAGCAGCAGCAGCCGCAGCAGCAGCAGTAGCAGCAGTATTAGCAGTAGTAGCAGTAGTAGTAGTTGTCGTCGTCGTGGTAGTCGTGGTAGTCGTGGTAGTCGTCGTCGTAGTAGTAGTAGCAGCAGCAGCAGTAGTAGCAGTAGTAGCAGTAGTAGTAGTCGTCGTCTTGGTGGTCGTCGTCGTCGTCGCCATTGCTGTTGATGTTCTTGGTGTTGTTGTTGTCGTTGCTGTTGCTGTTGCTGTTGCTGTTGCTGTTGCTGCTGCTGGTTGTCGTGGCTATTGAATAGGCTGATATTGATGATGCTGATGGTGTTTGTCATGCATGGCTGATATTTGGCGGTGGTGCTGCTGATGATGATGGCGATGACGAGCATGAATGTGAACGACGACGGTGATGACAAGGTTTTAGTGGTGAGGGTGATTGTGGGCACACATTGGCTGCCAAGGATAATAACCCGGTCCAGTATAGTATAAAAGCGTTTGCGGCGAGCGTTGATGGAACAGTGCCCAAGAGCAAGCCGTAAACCCCAAAACCTAAACCTAAACCCGAAACTTTGAGAGTATGCACGACTGGCATCATCCCTGCACAGCCGAACGTGGGGGGGAAGCAGCCCATGCCATTTGAGGTCGGCAAGTGGCGCCAGGAGCAAGTGAAAGAGACGGAGGTTCAGGGTTTGGGGTGATAAGCCTCTACACGGGGCAGATCATGCCATATCACGCCAGCAATCGGTGCTGTTCGGGCTGCTGCCGATTTCCACGGGTTGATATTTCGAGCAAGCCGTAAGAACGAAAATGCAGTCTTACCGAGCGGTGGGTTGCCGGGTTTCCGTTCACTGCAGGGTTTTGCGGGCTGGCCTTCCAAGACTCAACTCCAAGCACGACCCGATCGGCAAGCAAACTCGAAAACCCTATTCCGACGATTATATCCCTTATTTTGGAAAAACGGGCCGGGCGGTGGGCGTTCGTTCCAGCAGTAGAATCACAAGCTCTACATAGAGGTCAGCAACCAAGAAGCGGTGGTAGTGTAGTAGTAGAAGTCGACATCGGAGTCAGTATCAACGTGAACAGACCGGGCCACCATGTGACGAAGCGCGGTGAGCCACTTCTATTGACAGTGTATAGCTTAGTTCACTCGCCCGAAGATTTCCGAAATTGCCGGCTGGAGCACGGCCCCTGAAGTATCCATCTCCAGGCCATCATGCATTGGTACCTCATCCTGGCCGCGTCTGCGCTGTGCCACTGGCAGCGCTGGCTGCAGAAGCGGCAGCGGAAGAAGCAGCGCCAGGCCGTGGGTGTTCGGTTTGGGATTTCAGCGAGCCGTCTCGACCCCCTTAAAAGGTGGCCCCGAATAGGTTCATGTCCACTCCACGGGTGATCTCAGCTTTCTGTGCTGGCTGCTTGTGTGGCTTCCGCGGCTCAAAGCATTTGTGCGGACGAACCTCCCGACGCACGTTGAAAGAAGGAAAGGCATGCTCGATGCCGGTACAACCACGCTGATGCTGTCTGGCCTTCCACTCAAGCTCAATCGAAGCATGCTCCTGCAATTGTTGAATGCCGAAGGCGCCGGGAGGTACGATCTCGTGCATGTGCCGTACGACACAATTGCTCATCGGCCTATGTCCGTGGCGATTGTCAATTTCACCGACTACACGAGCGCCAACAAAGTGCATGGCTTCTTCAAGATCCTGCAAAAGGAAGCCGGCTGGAGTTTGCATGTGGTTCCTGCAGCAGTTCAGGGCTTGGCAGCGAACCTGTGGCAGTGGTTGAGAACGCTTTCTTCCGTAGAGTTTACCCATAAGCCATAGAGTCGACTGCTTGTGAGCCGCCATCGAGAAGATTCAACCTCGAACTCTCATCAATTCCGCTCTTCGTACTACCGTTCGTAGGCACAGCTAGAAAGTGCTGCTCCTCTTGTGGCGTGCTCCGAAAGCCTTCAAAGCCCAAACCCTAAACCCTAAGCTAAACCCTAAGCCCCTGAACCCTAAACCCTAAGCCCCTGAACCCTAAACCCTAAGCCCCTGAACCCTAAGCCCTAAGCCCCTAAGCCCCTAAACCCTAAACCCTAAGCCCCGGAACCCGAAAGCCCCCACAGCCCAGAAATCTGGCCTTCATCGTGGCTAGCTCCAGCCTTGGCTTTGCAGCCATGTCGGAGCCCTCCGGGCCCCTGATCTTCACGGATGGTGTGCAGGTGGATTCTAGTCCAAATAACTAATCATAATAGTAACAACATATAGATAGATACAACAATAATAATAATGAGAATCATAATAATAATAATAGTAATAGTAATAGTAATAATAATAATAACAATAATAATAATATTCAGAATCTTGTCACGGTTCCCTCCTAGGTCGCTGGCTCTAGGTTTGCTTGCCAGGTGGCCGACTCCATCGCGTTCGCAGCCTGTTGCATTCCCCCAGCCTTGCTGGTGGAGGCTAGGAGGCTGATCGATGTCGATGCGCGTGGCTTAACCGTGATTGTGCTTCTGGGGTACTAGTAGCTGTAGGCTTGATCTATGGCAGCCTAGGCTCACCATCCTTTAAGACGGCCGAGCCCTAGCCTCAACCAAGGCATTGCTTGTCAGTTCGGCCTGGCAGAGTGTGGAAGGGGAAGCGGAAGTACGGCAAGTACCGAGGGACCCATGGCCGGTCGGTCCTCACCGCACGGTCTCGAGAATTCAGTGTCAGAGGCATGGCTCCGGGACGTGGTGGGTCCAGGTGTCTTGGCGGCAGTCCTCTCGGGTGGCAACCTTGGGGTTTCGACCATATCCCGCAGAGGCCAGGAAGTGTGCAAACCGAAAATGCTTGCAGAGGAAGCTTCCTTTTGCCAGTGCAGCCCCCGCGTGATCTTCAATTTGTAAACAGTTTTACTTCCGTTTTATGGATGGTGACCGTGGTGTCTCTACAAGGCACAGGAAGCCATCGGTTCGCTAATTGCCAATTCGCGGGAGCTCCAGTAGTTGGTCTCAAAAACTTGACTGGTTTCCTTAGTAGTCAGAAGTATGCGAGTTTTATTTTCAAGATGAACTACTGCGTGCATGATCCCACCCAAATAGGGTGGAGCTTCTTTTCGCATGTGGCCATCTTTGTAGATGGAATGCCTGGACAGGAACACCACTGCTTTTCAAGCGGCAAGGCCAACGAAAAGTTGGCTGGAGTTGCGCAATCACTTCTCAGACGTCAAAATCAGTAGCGGGTCCGAAGTACATCATGCAGATCTACACGGTATTGCTTCCAGCAACGACAGCAACAACAACAGCGCAGCAGAAGAGCAGCAACAGCGACAATGCAGCAGTCATACTCAACAGTGACAACAACCACCTTTACCCCTAAATGCTAAACTCGCAGCAGCAACAACAACAACAACAACAACGGCAGCAACAGAACCACAGCGACAGCTACCGTTACCCCTAAATGCTAAACTCCAAACCGTAAAAGCCCCAGCCCTTCTAGACCCGAAAGCTTCGAAACCCTCAGGGCCTCAAGCCTGAGACCCTTCACCCTCGCCCGAAATGGCGCGATATGAAGACGCGGAAAGTGCCGGTTCAAGATCAAGACTATGCACAAAGCCCGACTCCGTACACGCCACTTTCAAACTTGGCAACCTTCAACCCCGAAGCCCTAAGATCCTGAAAGAGGACCTGAACATGTTAAGGACTCCAAAGCCTTTAATAACACCCTGTAGGAAACCGAAAATGCGAATCGAAATCCATAGAGCCTGAAGCAACGGTAGGAAACCTAAGCAACATTCAATGCGTCAGCATCAATCGCAATACTAAAATCAAGCCTGAATCATTGCCAGCATTGTTCCGTGGTGTTGCTTATTAGAGCACCCCCCAAAAAACTTCCACAACCCTATTCATTAAAGGCCACTTACTGTACCTTGCCATATGTGCCTTCGCGAGAGGCGGAGGCCGCCAAGCTCTTTGCCAGGGCGGCGCGGGGAGCTGCGCTGAAGGTGGCCGGCACCAGCTGGATTTTGGGGTCTTGTAGGGTTGTTCTCGTTAGTTGATTTCAGGGGAGCCTCAGGGCGCTCATGGAATAGTTACAGATCTCTATGTAGCTTGTGCTGTGAAACTGCTACCTGCTCTTCCACTGCTTCTTGCGAGCTGTGATAACTACGTTGGCTGTGGGGTTTATAAGCGGTTCAAGATTGGCCTATCGAATTGGTTTTCGGGTGTGAGCGGGACTTTGTTCGGGGTTTGAAGAGGGCTTTGCAAAGGTTTTGAAGACGCTGATGTTATACATTGCTTGTTATAAATTGCATAAAATATGTCATGTGTCATATGTTTAGATTATATCATATACTCTATACTATATACGATGTACAATGTACATTATACCATATAACATATATGATACAGTATATTGTAGTTCTGTTCTACTGTACTGTATTATGGAAGGCGGCGCTCTGGCGCTTCGACGAGGAGCGATCGGTGCAGGCGGAGGCCTCGCTGAGCTGTAGCCATTCGTCCCCGTCTCCATGGCAATCCTTATCCTCAATCAGGGTTTAGGGTTTAGGGGTTTAGGGTTAAAGGGGATTAGGGTTTAGGGGTTTAGAGAATTCCATGATCATCCTCCTCTTCCTCCTCCTCATGCTGCTCCTTGACAACTGTATAACTGTATATTTCTAGATTGGAGAAAGTATTGCTGGGGGGAAGGATGCTCGCCGCGCCCTGAATCCGCCGGTGCATGTGATCAGCTTGGCAGGGGTGTGGTCTCCTCGGGGGTCTCCTCGTGGTCTCCTGGTGGTCCTGGTAGTTGTGGTTGTCTTGCTCGTTATGGCCGTCGTGGTGTTCCAGCAATGGCTGGGGATCTGCGCGGGCATGATGGTGACTATCGCGCTGCCGCCGATGATGGTGGTTGTGATGATGACGATGATAATTAACGTCGTCATTGACATCATCATCGCCATCATCATGTCCATTTTATGTTCCAAATGATCATAAATAATGTCACCATCGCCAGAGCAATCTCCATCATCATCATCATCATCGTCATCATCATCTGGTCGCCAGCACCCGTGTCAGCCTCACCACCATGTTCATGTTCGTCGTCATCGTCAGCCTCGCCAGCAGCAGTCTTCATCATCGGATCGTCATCTGATCATACTATGACCTATAGTATTGTGTACCATAGTATATCATAGTATATCAATTAGTGTGTTATCGTACGTTATGGTATATGAGAGTATGGTATATTGTTGGGGTTCGGGGACTAGCTTTGGTTTCCGTATAATATTATAGTATATCATATTATGGTATATCATCTTATATTACAGTATAATTATCAGCGTATGCTATCGTATATTACAGTATGTTGCATTGAAGGGGTTCGGGGACTCTCGATGTTCTCCGTCTAATCCTCATCCTGACTGGCATCCTCCCTAAACCCAAAACCTATACCCTAAACCCTCACCTGCCGGCTGTGGAGCTGAACCAGCAGCAATGAGGTTGCCTCATTGCGATCAGCGCTCCTGCACAAGAAGAGGGTGGAGGACGGGTCGGTGGTTTAGGGAAGCTTTAATTGGGATTCAGGTTTTGGGGTTCAAGGGTATCAGTGCTTAGGGTTTCCGTGGCTCAGGGCTTCAACCTCACCTGACTGCTGCAGGTGGCGCTGCGCGTTGGCCAGCACTGGCGGACTCGGGCCTACGTGAGGACGGACAGCTTTAGAGAGCAAGTTCACAGCAGAACCAACAGAAGGATGAATTTAGTATGAGGCCTGAATAATTACCAAAATAATTCCGTAGGGTTCCTTGTATATTGGTCATCGCAACGGTCGTCACGATAGCACTGGCCCCGCTGAACCGTAAGCCCAACCCCGGGCACTTCCCGCATCATCACTCAATGTGGCGTGAGGCTGTGTAAGGGGGTCTACAGGCAAAGCTGAGCCCCTACATGGCTTGGGTCCGGACGCTAAGTTTCCAAAGATACTCCCCGAAATATAAGTATAATCATAAGTCATAAGGACTCCCAAGTGAGGTACCGAGGGTTATATACTTTGAGTCCCGCAGCCCGGTAAGTGGCAGGGCCACTTCGCGACAAGTCTTTCTGCATCGCCATGAGCCGCTTCGCTTGCAGGGAGCTTGAGGCTGATACTATCGCCTAAAAAATGACCAACATTATTCTGGGGTTCCTTATTATACATATATATATTGTGCCTAAATAATGGCCAACATTAATTTTGGGGTTCCTTATTATACATATATATATATAGAGAGAGAGAGAGAGCCTAAATAATGACCAACATTATTTTGGGGGTCCTTATTATATATGGATATATAGCCTAAATAATTACCAACATTATTTTGGGGGTTCCTTATAATATATATATATAGCCTGCATAATGACCAACATTATTTTTGGAGGTCCTTATTATATATATATATATGGATATATAGCCTAAATAATTACCAACATTTTTTTGGTGGTTCCTGATTATACATCTATCTATCTATCTATCTATCTATCTTTCTGTCTATCTATCTATCTATCTATCTATCTATCTATCTATCTGTACATTTCTTTCTATCCTAAATAATTACCAACATGATTTTTGGAGGTTCCTCATTATAACTATAGCCTAAATCATTACCGGGGGTTCCGTATTCTAACTATATCTTAAATAATTACCAATATCATTTTGGGGTTCCCAATGATATTTGGGGAGTTCCTTATTCTAAGCATATCCTACATAGTTACCAATAGTTGGGCTTCCTGAATATAAATGTATCCTAAACAATTACCACTATTATTTTGGTGGTTCGTTTTTATGATTATAGCTTAAATAATTACCAATATTATGTTGGAGGTTCCTTATTCTTCTTATAGCCTAAATAATGACAAACATTATTTCAGGGGTTCCCTAGTGTAAGTAAAGCCTAAACCTCAATAATTACCACTACTGTTTGGGGTTCGTTATTATTAATATAGCCTAAATGGTTACCACTATTACTCTGGGGTTCTGCAGCATAAATTTAGTCTAATGGGCCCCAAGACCCTATCCCAATTCTAAAGGCCCTAATTTAAAACGCTGCGCGTCGTCCG